ACTAAAATATTTTATACGATAAGATTTCAATAAAAACATTATTGTTTAATTGATAAATTATGTATTGTTTTATTGTAATTATAAATTCGTCACTTTATAGAATTGGTAACTGTTCTGTAAAGACTAACACATATTGTACAATGAAAATTATTTGAACATGGTTATATTATTTAGTTTTTTATTTTTTACATTATAATGTGTTATTTTGATATGTAATAATTGTTAATGATATTAAAATGTTTTTGAATAATATGTAAAAATTCGCTGTGTTAATTTTACAAGAATATTCAATAAATAATTATATAATGTTAATTTATTTTTTTGTTAAATAAATTCAATTATAAGTCTGTTAATTTGTCAAGAAAAATCTTAAATATTTTTTATAGTTTTATGTTAATTAATTATATTTTTGTGTGTTAATAATAATAGAAAATGTGTTAATAATATTTAAATGTTAATTTTATGTTTTCGTTAATTTAAATTCTGTTTTTATTTTGCTATAAAATTTAAAAAATGGATAAATACAATAAAAAGTGTTTATTTGTGGGTTTTTAAACTAAGAAAAAACGTATATTTGTGGGTTTATCATGGAATTGTGAAGTAAATTCTATTCACCATTTTTTCCATTAAAAACAGTGTTATAGAAAATATAGTAATTTTTTGAATTATAATAAAACTATATTATTTATCTAAGTGGACCTAAATTCAACGTTCTCGATCAAAATAATTATTTGTGGGTTTTACATTTTGATTGGTCTATTGACCCACAAATAGACGTAACCCACAAATATAAAAACCCACAAAAAGACACTTTTTACTGTATTTACAAATTGTTAATTTATCAAAAACAATTTGATAAAAACTATTGAATCTTCTGGAATCACAATTCATTATCACCCAATGCCCCGTCTATTTGCGTATTTTTAAAAATGGCTTTACCAAAAATGATTTTTTGCCGCAAAAACAGTATCTTTAGTTTTTTTATGAAAAACAATTTTCTCCGAGGCATGACTAAGACAAAAAATTATTGTGGCAAAAACTGCCAATTATATTGTCTGACCTATTATATAAACTTATCAAAATAAAAATTAATGAGAAAGAAATTTTACTTGTAAAAATTATAATTTTAGATATTAACAACTGATAGTTTAAACCTTTAAATTATAAACAATAAAACAATTAAATATAGTTTAAAACATTTTAAACTTAATGACAAAAACAACTATATGTACATACAAACAAACAACACAAAATGTTTTATTAATCATAAATATATTTAAAAAACGAATATTTAGACCCGACTGATTTATTATTTGAAAAAAAACAAAACCTTTGTTAGAAAGATTATTATAAAACAATAAAATATTTGTTTTTGTGAAACAATAATAATAAAACACAAATGTATTAATTTATTTAGATAATCGGATATAGCTCTCTTTAAATCCTTTGCTAGAAAGGTTAATAACTTGTTGCATTCGAACACCAACAGAATGATACAAGCGATATATTAAATTTGTAATTTTTGTGAAACTAGCTAAAAGACGGTAAATAAGTCGATACATTTTTCGGTTGAGACAATTACGGCAATGAATAAGACACAGCAAAGTGAATAAACCAAATCAATTTGATTAAACAAGATTGGTAATTTGATTTTATAGTATGGTTTCAAAATTTATAAATTTGTAATAAATAAACCATTTTAATGTTATATCATTCAGAAAATAATAAAATGAAATTGAAGTGTTTTCTTGTTTTTTATTCAAAATACCACTTGACATGTTTGCCATATTTTTCCAAGTGCCCATTCTCATTTATTATCAAACTCTTTATTTTATTGGGCAGTATTCAAATCCATTTGTTTCTTCGCTAATAACACATTTTTAATATTGTGTTGGTGTTGTATGAAAACGTTAAAAATGGGTTAAATAGGACTAAAATTAAAACGTGGTGTTAGTATATGAAAAAACATTATAAATATTAAGAATAATTATTAATAAAAACAATATTTATTATTAATAATTTATTTAAATTGCTAAATAAACAATTTAAGTTAAAGATAGAAATACAATTTAAAATATCAAAGCTATTCCAATTAAAAATAAATTATACACAAAGTTAACACTGTATAATGTGGATTTAATTTGTAAGTTTTCAATCACACACTCACATTAAATTATTAATGTTTTTTTTTCATTTCATTGAATACATCACATTCGTTATCAAACTAAACAGTGTTAACTTTGTGAAATTTACGAGTTATATCAAAACTTCAAAACAATCGTGATATTTAATACCGACAACATCATGCTTGTATCTGTTACATTAGACTTTGTGAATATCAGTATTCAACTTCCAAAATGTTTTCAACCATTGACATTAGCGCAACAATTTGTCTGAAATTTGTTTGTAGTTTATTTTTCACACTTGTAGAAACATTCTCGAGCCTCAAAATGATACCAAATTCATTTCAAAAAACTCTCAAAATATTTCTAATATTTCGACTATCTGTAAGTCCATTCTATCATCAAAATAAAATGCCATTATAAATGGTAATATTGTTATTCAAATATCTCCACACTCATTAATTGACAAATGTTGTGTGTCAGACAATGGCATTGTATCAAAATTTTCATTGATATCAATGAAATAACTCGATAACATGGAATATCCAAATGGTGTGTTGGTGCCCACAAATTTGATGACTAACAAAACGTCAACAAGTCAAAAAATACAACTTTTTGTATTGTTTCAAATCTTCGTGCATTTGAAAGATAATATGTACTTGACTTTACTTGACCTGACAATTTTTAACTTGTGTGGACGTTGTTTTGAAGTGATGATGTTGAAGACCGTGTAAAAATTTTCAAATTGTGTAATGCTGTTTATGTATTCTGCTTTGTACATCTTGTGTACTACAACTTTTGAATATCATAATTCCATTGTTATAATGGAAACTTGTAGAAACTCCAATATGGAGACTGAATTGATTACTTTGTTGATTTGTTTGTATATTTTAAATTTTATTTCTTTTGCATTTTTGATTTCAGTGTCATTGTTTGTCACCATCTCATTCTTCGTTTGAAAGCAAAAATCAAAACAGTACTCATTTTAATTATTTTTATACAATTGAAGGGGACTATCATTCTGTTCCAAGAATTTTTTTCAAAATATTCTTAAGGTGGTTGTGATACCAATAACATCACGTCGAAGTTGTGATTAATACAAAACTCTGTTTCCTCTTCTAATGATAAGACTTGTGCCATAAAACGGGAACCCAGATCAATTCAATTCCAAGTAAAAGTGATTGCTTAACCAAATGCCCAGAATCCTCTCCAATGTTGTTAGTGAAGAACAATGATGTTTTAAGAAGTTCATATGGATTTGACAATGTCACTTGAATTATATTTTACTCATATAGAAAAATACTCTTAGATGCTAATTGCCAATGAAAGTCAATATATCTTATAACATGGTAAGCAGAAGACTTTAACTAAATACACACAAAGATTTGTAAAATAAGAACATGTTGATTGTCACTTGTAAGTGTGTGGATATCATAGAATATTCTATTAAAATACGAAGTAAAATGAATACATAAACTACTTCAAACTTTATGTATTAAATAAAACAGTTAGCCATCTAAAGGTGTTTGGAAAGGTTTGTAATTATCTCGCCAATATAGACTAGTTTAAAACAACTTAAATAACAAAGTTAAAGAAAATTTCCAAAAGTCTATCTTGTATTGCCAACTTTGTTATATATTAATTGGACCACTTTAAAAACATATAATCTCAACTTTGTCAACAAAAATGTTTTGTTTGTTGTATTGTAATACTACTAATAATAATAGATCTGTTGTTTGTTTCGTAATAAAATAAATTAAAATATTTGCAATATAAGTTTTATTCTCCCTATTTATATCTTTTTGAAAGATTCATTTAAAGATTTAAAATCACTCATTTGAATATACAAGTTTTTTAAAGTGATAGTTTGTTGAGGATAATTGTTCTGATGTCTCGGTATTTTGTTTTTTTAAATTTAATTTAAATAACTTTCTTTAATACTTAAATTGATTTCATTATAATTTATCAATGTAAATACATAAAGCAATTTTTGGAAACATCATTATCAATCGAGTTGCCAACGAAGTGATCCAACACAATCAATTGTACTTGATCAAACATTAAATTTTTGTTTTTGAGCTTAAGTTGAGTTTTTTTTTCAAAAGCTTCTGCCATATCAAAAACACTTTGAGTTCACCAATTTGTTCTTTGATTGATTTTTCAGTATAATTTTATATCTTATTTGTACAGTCATTAATCAAATTTATAATTATCTTGAGTTTTGAAGCATTTACAACATAACAACAAACAAATTAGCTTTGTTGTAGAACTCTTTAAAATGTGAAAATTTCCTTGCAAAAAGCAACTCCTTAACTTTTTATTGGAAATATTTGATTGCTTGAATTGTCATTTTTAATAAATTATCTTATTAAATTCTATTTATAGAAAACTTGGGGGTCTTGTCATGGCTGTACAAAATAAAGGTTTATTTTTTTTCACTCCTATTTCAAAATAATTTTTCATTAAAATAAATATTATAATTGTATAATTACAATAAAAATTATACAATTAATATTATTATTTATTAACTAATATTTATAATTTATTGTTATTCAAATTATTAATTACTATAAATTAAGTATATGTAATAAATATGAACAATAAAATACTAAATATTAATTAAAA